AAAATCACAGGAAAAGCAGCAGGAGAGACTGAAAGGCAGCAGAGGCAACGGGAAAGCAGAGAAAGGCAGCAGAAAGTCACAGGGAAAAGGCAGTAGGAATTGAGAGGAGATCGGGAAACTAGTGGAAAGGGGTGGGGACTGGAATTGAGAGAGAGAGAATGGGGCTGGAATTTAAGATAAGGAAGGGACTGGGATTCAGTAAAACATGACCCAACTCAGGGTTGCAAGTAACAGTGGTTTTATTGAACAGGGGAGATGGTGACTCAATGTCTAATTGGTTCCCTTGCACCCACACACACATACACACGCACAGTGGCAGCAGGGGTTAGAGAGGCTTGGTGCAGGGGCTGAAGTCCACTGAAGTCCAGGAGGAGGGAGAGAGAGAGAGAGAGAGAGTCCAAATTGTAGGAGGAGGTGTGCAGGTAATATCTACCTATCCAGGCTGGAAAAGGGTCCTTGTCCAGTCAGTGTTGTCCAGAGGGGGGTCACCAGTAATGCCTCTGGGTGGATAGGTGGTGTGGCATGGTACTGGTTCAGATGGAGAGGGCATCCCACTGGGTCTGTCTTCACTGCTCCTTTTTATAGGGGCAAACCTTGTGTGACCCTAGTAACAGGAGGCATGCCCAGGCAAGGGTCAGCCCCTAGTGTACTGAGCATGTGTGCTCCATGCAGAGATGTGCAGTTTTGGGTGTCTGTAATGGTGGGGTACAAAGGTGGAGTTGCTGGTTCTGCAGGGTCTTTTGTCTTTCAAATGCTGGGTTCCTGACTCTGTTCCTGGGTGAGGTCCGTGGTTCCTGGATGAATCAATGCAAGGTGATGGCTCAGTTGTTACAGGCCATTCAGTAGAGGCCTGCTACCATTGTATTTCAATCATTCCCAATCATTCTCATTCATCCGGGCACCAATTTACATGGGAGGGGTACATGACTCATACAGTTGCAACACGGGATGCCCAGGCAGAGGACAGAAGATGGAGGCTTGACATATAAAATGGAAACTTGACATGACTTTGGTTCACTTATAAACACAGGCCTAAACCATATAATATCCATAAAATATCCATATGAAACCATAAAAATCAATACGAAAATGATAATAATACAATATACAACAGTAAAAAAATCAATACAAACCTAATAATTATACAATGTAAAACGGTGGATATCCAAAAACTTGCTACCAAAATAAAAATGTTTAAAGCTTATCCTAAGTCTGAGCTCACTCATACTTATCTACAGGAAATAGAGAGGGAGAGAAAAAGTCAGAAATGGTTGGGGAAAGGGGAGGGAATGCATTTTAAAATAAATAAATAAATAAAGGTTAGGTTCCTCGATGAGACCAAGGGAACCTAGAAGGTCAAGAACCAAATAACTGATACTTCCCTGACTATGAATGTTTCCTAGTCTTGGCTCATAGTGTGACAAAGAAAGTGTTAGCCAAAGAGGCAGCAAAACTGTGCATTTAGATTTTAAAAATTTAAGATGATAAACTGGAAAGTAAAGAGCAGTTTGCTAGTGGAAAACAAGTCCCTTGACTGCAAAGGGAAATTTTTGATCTATCCTAGATGACCTACAGCCCTTCCATTCTTCTCCATCTTTCTTCTCTGCCTTTCCTATCACCTTCTCAAATCTCTCACAATGCTGAACTTTACTCTTGGCTCACTCAACATACACGGATACAGGAACTCCCAGAAAGTGAGCATCTCTGAGTTCCAGAACCAGAGATGGTTAGACTTCACCTTCTTGCAAGAGACGCCTACAAACGGGATTAATGAGGCATACTGCCACACCACATGGAGGAGAAGAGCTTTTCTCAGCTACAGCAGCCACTCCATCATGGGTGTTGCCATCCTCTTTTCACAAAAACTATGCCTGGTTTCAGTAGTTGCTCAGGAAGTCATCTCTCATTGCATGCTATTGGTCTGAATCATTTTGGAGCAGTGCCACCTCATCCTGTTTAATACCTATGTACCCAAGAAAGCGGGGAAGAAGGTATGTTTTTTCAGGATTCTGGCTGACCCCATAGAGATTGTAACCAATGACAACAACATCCTCATCGTATGGGGTGTTTTTGCCTTTAGGAAAGTTTAGACTGAAATGAACTGGAGCCCCATTGAACAGTGCCACAGTGAACTCCACCCTCCACCCAATAGCTGCAGACCACCATTCTGTAAGACAGCATACCTTCATGAAGACGAACTGCAGTGCACATCAGCATACACTGCATATCAGCATATGCTGCAGCATACCTACATGAAGCCAAGTTGCAATATTCACAGATGAGCTGTGAATACCTGCATGAAGACGAGCTGCAGTGCACTCTCTATGGCGTGCCTAGATTGGCTGTAATCACTGAACACCACCTGCCTCTACTTCACTGAAGCTATGTTGTTCCATCAGGACTCTCAGACCACAGGTCAGGTCTGATGTGAACTGGACTTTCCTGACTTGACTCACACCAAGTACTCTACAGGTGCCTCAGCATTAGCTTCCTTCAGGATACCTACTTTTGCAACTGCTTCATGTATCTCTGGCAGACTTGGGTGGATTCAAGGAGTGACTTTCTCTTCTGGAAGCAGTGATAGGAAATGGGAAAAACACAAATCAAGATTTTCTGCTAATAGTATACATAGCAGATGATCCAGGATTGCTCCCACAGTGTGCAGGAACTTGAAGTAGACCTTACAGAGATTGAGGCTGCCCTGAGGGATGCCGATAATGACCAGGGGCTGTATGAGAACTTCAGGCTCCATAAAAAGTGCTTGAGAGAAATGGTAGAAAGAACAGGCCAGGGCTCATGAACTGAAGCTCTTTTCCAAGAACCCACAGTGGCTGATTCCTTGGCCCAGTTCTTTTTCAATTTAGAGAAAAGTATGCAAAACAGAAGATTGTCAGCCACTTTAAAGCCATGTTGAGCCAAGTGCTCATGGATCCTGCCAAGATCCGAGAGCATACTGTTAGCTCTACGAGGACCGGTGTGCAACTGAGCCTGCCTTCCCAGAGACCATTCAGCACCTGCACAAGGACCTCCTTAAGCTTTCCATATCTGAGGTGGATGAGCTCAAACAAGAGCTTTTTTAGCACATCACAGCCACTGAGGGCCC